AAATGGGGTGCACCGGCATGGATCATGGAGGTGCGAGCCACCTCCATGACCAAACTGATGCGTCGCTCAGCGACCCCATTCTGCTGTGGGGAGTCCGGTAGGGTGAACGTCTGGGTGATGCCCTCCGCACGACAAAAACGACCAAGGACACCGGAGGCAAACTCGCCACCACGGTCTGAGTGAGGACGCAAGACAGGGAGACCGCGGTGGACACGCGCAGAGACAAGCCAGGGGATGAGAGCGCCAGGCACGTCGGCCTTGCGCTCCAGGGGAAAGACTGTGGTGTAACGAGTGAAGTCGTCGACAAGCACAAGGAAGTAGCGCTCTCGACGCGGCCCAGGGACGGGGGCGGGGCCCCAGACGTCCAGGTGCAGGGTCTGCAGCGGCGCGGCGGTAGGGGGAAACGAGGAGGAGTGAGGGGCACGGCGAAGCCGACCCTCGACACAAGGCGTGCAAGGTGGGGCTGGGGAGGAGGGAAACGCGGGGAGAGAACCTGGGAGACCAAGGACAAGACCGTGCTGTGACATGTGACGCAGGCGCGGGAGCGCAGGGTGACCTAGGCGGTGGTGCCAAAGGAGGGTCGGGTGAGTGAGGGACCGACAGGAGCAGGCGGCAGCAACCTGGGTGAGCGCTCCAGCCGGGGGGGTCATGGTGTCCAGAGTGAACAGGCCGGACACCGGGTCCCGGGGGAACGTGGACAGGGGGGCACCAGTGGCGGCCTCGGTACAGACAGCATACCGCTCGTGACCAGGGAACGTAGTGGTGACGCCAAGGTCCTGGAGGCAGCCGACACCAACTAGGTTCCTGGAGAACGAGGGGATATGCAGACCTGTGAGAGTGCCCGAAGGAACCGCCGGACAGGGAAGGGTGGTAGAACTGCGGGCAACTACCGGACCGCCGGAGGGGTCAGCAAGAGAAACGGCAGCAGGAACAGGAAGCGGCGTCAGGGTGGTGGAGTCGCGGAAGAAACACCGAGAAGCGCCAGAGTCCAAGGTGAAGGAAAGTGAAGCAGAGGCGGCTGGCGACGGAACGACGGCGGAAGCACCAAGACTACACAAAGCAGAGGATCCTACGCCTGACGCAGCAGGGGAGGCTACGCTAGGCACACCTACACTAGGCAACAGTGAGTAATAAGTTGGAAGCACACTAGAGTCATCAGCATACATCACATGAAGAGCAGAAACAATGGCATCCATGTCCATATCAAAGATCTGAATCTTACGACTAAGCAAACTGTGCCAGTCCGGGAGGTCTGGCGACGGGCTGAAGCGCTGACGAAAGAGGTCGTCCAGGCGACGAAAACAGCGGGGAGTGGAGTGACCGATCTTACCGCAAACGAAGCCGCGGCGAGGACCGGTCTGGATCTGGTACTGACAACGCCCGCCGCCAGAGCCACCACTCGGCACACCACCACGCGCCCGGCCACCGCCAGCGCCGGGCCACCCGGGCGGGAGGACACTCGTCTGCCGTGTCTGCGACGGCTGCTGCGGCTGCTGCGAAGGCTGCGACTGCGGCGGCTGCTGCGGCTGCTGCAACTGCAGGGGCGGCAGCTCAGCTGGACTGGGCAGGGTCCCCTCGTCCGCTCCAGCACCAGACGACCCGACCCCACCACTACCCCCTCCCGCACCCCCGCCTCCGCCTCAGCCGCGCCCAACTTTGGGGCGGCGGCCCTTCCCCGAACGAAACTGTGCTGAAGCAGCAGTCTCAGCCACTGCGGCAGAGCCGTCGGAGAAGGTACACTGAGCGGGGGCACAACCCTGAAAGATAGGGACCGGCACGGCACCGCTCGCCTGGGCGATGGAGCGGTGACGGGTCTCTATCACAGTCAGGGTGTCTACAAAGTCAGTGAGGGTGAGGTCTGCGGGGTGAATGCTAAGGAAGCGGTCGCGGGCGACAGCAAGGCGATCATAGAGGCTGGTGGCAAGCAGGTAGAGGGTAGAGGTAATGGGCGGCTGGTGGGCTCTAAGCTGTGCGTCAGTGCAGGCAGCGCGCCAGGTCTCATCTATCGAGCGCAGGTGGGCAGCAAGGTCAGAGACAGTAGGGAAAGATGCAAGGTCAGGTTAGAGCATCGGGAGGATCAGGCGACCCACCGAGGCAGCCGGAGGGGTGGAATAGCACTGGATGACAGCATCTAAGTATGTCTGAGCAGTGGTGAGGGACCTAAAGCGAGGGCGCTCGGACGGGGGAAGGGCGTTGTTAATGGCAAGCTGGGCGACAGCATCGCGAGAAAGCCAGACAGAGCGCGCACGGGCAGTGGCAGCAGTAGACTCGCGCTCAGTGGGGGTGGAGTCAGCGGGCAAAATAGCAGGGGGGTCTGGGCAGGGGAGCGTACCGTCAAGGTGTGCGGAAAGCGGTTCACCATCCTGCCGCTGGCCAGTGAGTTGGCGACGGAGGTCGGCAAGCCACGCCTCGAACTCCAGAGGCTGGCCCTCAGCGTCGAAGCGAAGCTCCGCCGCCATCAGGAACAGTGCAGTGCGGTGCAGGGCAGTGCAGCAAGGTGGAGTGCGGTGCCGTGCGGTACAGTGCGGTGCAGTGCGATGTAGTGCGGTGCAGTGCGGTGCCGTGCGGTACAGTGCGGTGCAGTGCGGTGTAGTGCGGTGTAGTGCGGTGCAGTGCGGTGCCAGGCAGTTTAGGGTGGTGCGGGGCGGTGCAGTGCGGGGCAGTACGGTGCAGGGCAGTGCAGGGCGAGGGGGGGGGGGGGGGGGGGGGGGAGAACCGTACCAGTGAGGAGGACCGGGGCCGGGGCAGGGACGAGCGCAGGGGCCGGGTCGGTGCAACAGGGCCGGGCGGGTGCGACGGGGCCGGGCGGGCGCGACGGGGCCGGGCTGGTGCGACGGGGCCGGGCTGGTGCGACGGGGCTGGGCGAGCAGGACGGTGGCCCAGGAGGGGCACACCGGGGCTGGGCGGGCGCGACGGGGCCGGACGGGTGCGACGGGGCCGGGCGGCTGCGACGGGGCCGGGCAGGGGGCGACGGGGCCGGGCGGGTGCGACAGAGCCGGGCGGGCGTGACGGGGCCGGGCTGGGGCGACGGGGCCGGGCGGGTGCGACGGGGCCTGAAGGCGTGGCGGGGCCCAGGAGGGAGCTCGACGCGGCCCAGGAGGGGCGCTACGGGGCCCAGGAGGGGCGTTACGGGGCCCAGGAAGGGCGGTACAGGGCCCAAGAGGGGCACTACAGGGCCCAGGAGGGGCCCAGGAGGGGCGCAGGAGGGGCACTACGGGGCCCAGGAGGGGCGCGACGGAACCCAGGAGGGGCGCTACGTGGCCCAGGAGGGGCATCACGGGGCCCAGGAGGGGCCCAGGGGGGGGGGCGCGACAGGGCCCAGGGGGGGGCGCTACGGGGCCCAGGAGGGGCACGACGGGGCCCAGGAGGGGCGCTACAGGGGCCCAGGAGGGGCGCGACGGGGCCCAGGAGGGGCGCTACGGAGCCCAGGAGGGGCGCGACGAGGCCCAGGAAGGGCGCTACGGGGCATAGGAGGGGCGCGACGGGGCCCAGGAGGGGCGCGACGGGGCCTGGGAGGGGCGCGACGGGGCCCAGGAGGGGCGCTACAGGGCCAAGGAAGGGCGCGACGGGGCCCAGGAGGGGCGCTACGGGGCCCAGGAGGGGCGCGACGGGGCCCAGGAGGGGCGCTACGGAGCCCAGGAGGGGCGCGACGAGGCCCAGGAGGGGCGCTACGGGGCCTAGGAGGGGCGCGACGGGGCCCAGGAGGGGCGCTACGGGGCCCAGGAGGGGCGCGACGGGGCCCGGGAGGGGCGCGACGGGGCCCAGGAGGGGCGCTACAGGGCCCAGGAAGGGCGCGACGGGGCCTAGGAGGGGCGCTACGGGGCCCAGGAGGGGCGCGACGGGGCCCAGGAAGGGCGCGACGGGGCTAGGGGGGTCGCGACGGGGCTAGGGGCACGACGGGGCTAGGAGGGAGGCACGGCCGGGCCGAGCTAGGGGGGCGAGCGGAAGCGGTAGGTGGGGGGGGATCCTAACATACGCGTGATACCATATCAGAATTAGAGAAGTGAATGAGTGGTAGAGTGAGAGTACACACAGATATACCTAAGTGTTGTACCTAAGAGGTGACCCTATACAGTCTATACAAATATGACAAATACACATGTTTGATACGCGGGGGGGGGGGGGGGGGTAGGAGCACGAGGGGCCGTAGGGGCGCGGGGGGCCGGCTAGGGGCGCGAGGGTCCGTAGGGGCGCGACGGGGCCGTAGGGGCGCGACGGGGCCTGCTAGGGGCGCGACGGGGCCGTAGGGGCGCGACGGGGCCGTAAGGGCGCGGGGGGCCAGCTAGGGGCGCAAGGGTCCGGTAGGTGGCGGCACAGGGCGGAAGCGAGTGGGTGGACCTACCTACTCGTGATACCATGATAATACTAGAAAGAATGATTAGAGGAAGGGAGAACAGGCAGGATAGAGCGTTTGGTTTGTACCCACTAAAAACATACCCTATCTAGCCTATAACTTCTACATAAAAATAGATGTATAAGTTGACAATTATAACATATACAAATATGTTTGACATGTACTCTTCTGACTAGTCTTCGGACCCTTGCCTAAGAGGTTGGACTAGTAGTGCCACCTTGAGTTGCGTGTCTATTGCCAGGCACTGCCCCTTGTCTAGCCTAGGGGGTGTATCAATATATTGTTATAAGCTAGATAGGTGCATGCTTATAGAGAGTACAACACCACAACACAAAACTTGTATGCCTCATTCTAGTCATTTAGTTTTTCTTAGAGTAGCTATTTCGCTGTTTATTGCGTAGTTGTTTAGATCGGCACTGTTCTGACATTCGTTCGTCCCCCTTCAACAGACATTTCTTCACCTTCAGAGTTCAGCTAACTTCAAGGGGTAGGCAGGGAGACATTGAAGTTGGCTCATTCTCGATTCTGTGCGACGCGGCTTGGCTCTTCATTCTCCCGCGAAACGGGCCTCTCGAATGACACCGATTTTCGAAACGCTGAATTGCCAGCGACATTAAAATCCACCTTTCCACAATGATGACAGGCACTTATACATCCTTTCGCGGTAGTTGTCCAAACTACCTGTCAGTCGTCTCGGTCAGGGTCATCCATCAGCCGCCATGGCAAACACTCCTCTGAATCCATCCGCCGCAGCAATGGCAGCAGCCCAGGCTATAGTAGCACTGCGGAAAGTCTCCAAGGCGGCCGCTAACGCCAACCTGAAAGTTCCGGAAAATGCACCAACTGATGAAGCTCGTCTCTGCGAGATTGAGCTCAACCACTTCCGTAAGTGGCTCGGAGCACTTGCATGATGCTCGTTTTTCGCAATACAGGCACTAATGCAACATGACATTGCCATGTTTCAGGTGGCATGGACGACCGTGAGCTAGAGCTTACGCTGCACGTCACGAACCTCAGCCGTGCGATCACACGTGAAGAGCTTCTCCAATTATTCTCGTTCTGCGGAAATGTCACACGATGTGACTATCTCAACAACGACAGGTCCGTTGCTCATATTCGCTATTCAACCCCAGAAGAAGCGAAGGTCGCTTTGGACATGAACGACATAGCGATTGCAGATGTGAAGCTGAAGGTTGAGCTGGCGAAAACTGCTCAAGCTAGAATCCAGACAGCTCTGACTGCTTCTGCCAACGCGATTTCCAACTTCCTCCCCGGACGTGAAGGGAGAGCTACAGCCGCGTTACAGGAAATTGTGGCGAAGCCGTTGTTGCAATTTCAAGAAGCGCTTGCTATGCAGCAGAATGCCGCTCGGAAGCCGAAGGGCTCGTGCCCCGCCTCAGCTGCAGCTGCTCTGGCAATGCAGAGAGCTAAGGAGATCAGCAAGGTTCTGACATCTAATGCATCAGCAAGTGATCCGTTACAGAAAAGCAGGTCAGTGTTCATCAGCTGAGAGCCATTTCCAATCACAAGTTGCATGTTACTGATGTGTGTGTTTGCTTGTTGGTGCTGCAGGTACGAGAACGTCTACACAGATGGCAAGAAGAAGCCTGACTTTCAACCCAGTCTTGGACTCTCCTTCAAGTGGCATTCAGGTCGTTATGAAAACGGAGCAGCTCATGACAGGAGGAGAGGCTCTGGCCGTTCTGAGAACGTCACGGCACAAGACACAAGAAAAGCCTCTTCGTACATTGGTTCAAAACGCAGGCAAGAGTGGGGAGACAGCTATCATGGTTACAAGCATGAAGCCAAGAAGAGAACGTTCCAAGGCAAACCGAGCTCCCATGAGGCATTCTGTGAAAGGTGGCAGATGCTGCATGAGAGGACCCTCGACACTCATGGATTCCATGCAGAAGAATGAAGCCACATGCAACTAGTCTAGCTGAATAGCATTTACAGAGAGCTTCAGGGCATTATATCTAGAAAGTGCTGTAGCTGTATATGAAGTTATTGCAATAAATCAAGCCTGCAAACAGATGTGCTTCATGGCATGGGTGGATGGAATGGAAAGCCTTGAAACCTTGTGGCTTAGATAAGGCCATGGCGGATTTCAGCAACAACGACGTGCAACTCTGGAAACAGAGCTAGAATCACAACTTCCACTAGTGTATGTGCCAGTTGCTTTACACACACCTGTGACTGCAAGTACTCAGGCAAAAGAGACAGGGGAAAAAAAGGAAAAAGGTGAGAGGAAGTGAGGCCAAGAGATAGGGATGTAGAAAGTACCATGCGCAATGATGAGCATTGCATGGTCATAGCCTTACCTGCACAAAGCTGAAGAGGTCCGAAACTGATCGTTGGTAGTGCCTCAAACCAATTAGCGGAACAATCGAAGCCGGTGCCATTTCTGCCCACAAAAGAAAAACAGGAGAAACGATCAGTCGCATACATGACACCCACAAATCCAAACAGCAGCCAGCCCTGGGAGACATACCAAGCAAAAGCTGATGAACTCTAGCTGCCTTGTCAGCAGCTTCCAGTCGCTGCTGAAAGGACTCTGGAGGGACGTTGAGCCCGAGAGGGTCGGGACGAGAAACAGCAGGAGCAGAGGCGCCCGCGCGGGAGTTGGAGGCTGCAATAGTGGCCCGGTAATTCGGGTGGCGCGAGTAGAATATGCCATCCGGCCACAACCTCTGGCAAGAATCAAAGAGGGCGTTGAAAGGAGTCAAGCTTATAAAAAGACGCATAAGAGGCAAGAAAAACAAACCCGACCCAGAAACAAAATGGTTGGATGAGGAGCAAAAGTGGGGCGGGGTGGGGAGGTTGTGGGGGGTGAGAGGGGAGGGGGGGGATGGTGAGGTTGTGGGGTGGGGGGCCAGGTGGGGGGCCAGATGGGGGGCCAGGTGGGGGGTCCAGGTGGGGGTCCAGGTGGGGGTCCAGGTGGGGGATCGGGGGGAGAGAGGCGTGGGAGGGACGATTAGAGTGCAAAGAAGGCATGTACTACATACCTGGTGCAGGGAGCGAATGATGGTGGCCACAGTGGCTTCGGTGCGCAGCTTCTGGATCTGCGAAAGCAGGAAGTCGTCAATGGCATCCCCCATACTCAGCTCCAATACCTGGCGCGCCACCCACACCACCTGACGCCTGCCAGGGAGAGACAGGGGTGGAACGAGGGAGCGGCAGAGAGGCAGGGAAGGCATTCAATGGGGCCATTTGAGTATTTAAAAAAAGCATTCCCAAAGCTCAGCTCCAACACCTGCCGAGCCACCCACACCATCTGATGCCTGCCAGGGACAGACAGGGGTGGAAAGAGGGAGCGGAGGAGAGGCAGGGAAGCATTTCAACAGGTCATACGAGTATTCTAAAAAGGCATTCCCTAAGCTCAGCCCCAACACCTGACACGCTGCCCACACCACCTGATGCCTGCCAGGGACAGACAGGGGTGGAAAGAGGGAGAGGAGGAGAGGGAATCCCGAGTGAAATTTTGCGAGGGAGATGAAAGGTGAGGAGAAAGTCAAGTGTAAGCATGGTCTTGTCATTAAGCCCAGCTAAGCCACAGGAGGGTATGGCCTGGAACAACAACAGTGGGATAACATGGGCCCCGCAAACTCAACACTGAAGCTGACAAAGTTGCTCGATACAGCCCTTATTACAAGCGCAATCCGAGTCCCCCTTTGTCTTTGCCATTTAACCAATAATCTGGCATACCATCAGACTTACCTGATCCAGCCATGGCACCATACCAACCGACCTGATCCAGCCATGACACCATACCAACCGACCTGATCCAGCCATGGTCGTCGAGGTGCAACAGCACTTCCACCAGGCGCAGCAGCGGCGCACTGAGCTTGGCAGCCGTCCACTGCCACACACACGCACCCACAAGAGAGAAGAAAGGAGAGTCCAGTGAAGGGAGAAAGAGCAACGGGGATTGGAATCGGACAAACATGACAGGAAGGAAAATCCAGTGAAGAGGAACGAGAAAATCTAGAATAAATATACATATATGTACATATATATATGTATATATATATATAATCATATCAAAACAGCCAGCTGGGTTAGCTCTGTTGGTGGACTTCATATCTTACATCAGCAGGAACCGTGGCCTCTTGTCCACTCCCGAGGCCAGTCCTCCCATCATCACGCCCTTCCACAGCTCCTTCCCTTTCCAAGGCCCCTCCCTCCATTGCTGCATGTGAGCCGCCTGCAGGCAACCCCACCTCACCCCCCCCCTCCTCCTCCACCTCACCCCCACCGTCATCGCCATCATCATTCTCCATAAACCCTGCTGGCGCTTCACCCCCCCCCAAGTCCCCATCAGCCATGCGTGCCACACCCTCTCTACTACCATCCCCTCCTCTCTCCCCCCCTCTAAACGATGCCTCTCCTCCTGCCCCCACCCTGCCACCATCAGCGCCCTGCTCCTCATCCTCACTTTCTGCACCGCTCCTCCCTCCTTGCCACTCCTGTTGCTCCCAGCCCTCTCCCGAGCCTCCATCCAAGCCATCCCCAGAGCTCTCACTCAAACTGCCATCCTGCTGCTGCGTCAACCGTGAACCCCCACTGCTCCCTCCATTCCCTTCCCTTCTCCTGTCCCCTTGCCTTCCTGCCTGCACCCCTCCCCCCTGTGCTCTCTGCAGAGCGTACTCCAGGCCTCCCAGGCTCTGCCTGGAGCCATAGCTCAACACATCATCCACATCCTCCTCCCTCTCCCCCTCCCTCTCCTCCTCCCTCTCCCCCTCCATCCCCACACCTCCATCCCTCATGCTTCCACCCCGTGCAGGCCCCGCATGGCTCTTCAATCCCCCCCCAACCCCTCTCCTCCCTCCCTCACTGCGGATCTCCCGGCCAGCCCAAGCATCCCCCCTGTCTGCTCCCAACACCCCACCCTCACCCCCATGTGACCACTCCCCTGCTGCCTCCCACACAGTAGACGGACGTCCCTCTCCTTTAAACAACCCCCCCTCTGCTCGCCCCCCTTGCCCCGTTTGACCACCCCTACTGCCCCTTCCTCCTCCTTCCCCCTCCCCACTCCTCACTCTACCAGTACCCTCATATTCTCCTCTACCGGCCCGCTTCCTAGCTGCTTCCTCTCGTGCCATGTGGCTGCTGCTGTTTGGTCGAGAGGGATGGTGACTATAGTGAGGGGGAGTAACAATAGAGCTGGTGTCATCCCCGTTAGTAGCAATGGAGGAGAGCAGCTGCAGCTGGGATGTGCTTCTGACGCGTTGCCACTGCGTGTCGTCTGCCACTTCATCCACACTCACTGGGCAAGGGGAATGGGAGGGAGAGGGGAGAGGAAGGGCGGAGTAAAAGGGTGGGGGGAAGGTGGTGGGGGGGAGGTTGGGGAAAGAGTGGAAAGTGGGGTAGGTGCCCTTGACTCTTGGCCACTGCGTCCCGTCTGCGACTAGCACTGCTAGTTCGTCGGCGAACTGGCAGAAGGGTGGTTGCCCTTGACTCTCTGCCACTGCGTCCCATCTGCTAGTTCGTCGACATGCGCAAAAAGAAGTGCGAGAGCCAGCGAATTTTGAGGCACCTCAAAATGTGTCTGCTAGATCGTCGACGCTCGCAAATAGAAGTGAGAGAGCCAGCAGGGAGGGGAAGGTTGGGAGGGTGTGGGATAGGGGGTGGGAGGTGCAGTGGCGGACTAGAGGTCTAGCTTGGAAATAGGCAGAGCAGATATGCATGCATGCCACTCAAGAATGGAATGATGCATAACGGAAGCATGTTTTCAAGCGGACTCTTATCAGCTAAGGTGATCGATCTCACCAGCGAAAGAGATGGACTTTGAAATGGTGATGCTGGAATCAAAGGCCTGAGGGACCGAGGGGAGGGATTGGGGGGAGGCATGGGGGTAGAGAGAGGCGAAGCAGACAGAAAGTGAGGGGGACTGCTTTTGAGCCGACTCAAAAGCGAAAGAGATGGACCTTGAAATGGTGATGTTGGAATCAAAGGCCTGAGGGACCAAGGGGGAGACAGGGGGGAGCGATGGGGTTAGAGAGAGGCGAAGCAGACAGGTGGGGAGACAGACAGGCCAAGGGAGAGGTGAGAGGCAAGGCAGCAGCAGGTGGATACAAGAAGGTGCGGAGAGCTTTTTTAGAATTCTAAAAAACCATGTAAAACATAAGAGACAAAGTGATCAGTAGTAACGCAACCGTCACTTGGCACGACATCATACCTTGGAGTCGGGGGCAAGGAAGTCGATAACCTCTGGTGATGTGGCCAGCTCCTCTCGAGCCATGATGCCCTGCGAGGGGAGGGCAAATAGGAGGGCGGATGAGGTGCAAGAGAGGAGACGAGAGGGTGAAGTTGTGGGGGGAGCAGAAGGAAGAGGGACGATGCAGGAGAAAAAACAAAGGGAGAAAACCAGAGGGAGCATGGGAGAATGCGAGGGACGGAATCAGGGAGGGAGAGAGGGGGGGCGGGGTGTGAGGGGTGGAAGGGCAGGTGCGTGCAACTGGAGAAAGAGCCAAACACATGAGCAAGCAGCGAAACACATGGGCAAGCAGCCAAACGCATGAGCAAGCAGCGAAACCAATGGGCAAGCAGCCAAACACATGCACAAGCAGCCAAACACATGGGCAAGCAGCTGACTCACGCACCTTGACATAAGCGTGCAGCTGCAGCAGCCTCTGCCGGATGAGCTCCTCGTCCCGCCCGCCATGGAAGAACCGCTTGGGCGGCAGCTGCAGGCTGCATGCTGACGGGCTGCGCCGCTTCAGCTGCTGGTGCAGCTGCCAGAAGTTGCGGTACCTGGGGGTGAGAAAGGGGTTGAGAAGGGTGAGGGGTGAGAGGGGTAAGAGGGGTGAGTGAGAGGAGGGGCAGCGAGTCACAACAGCTGGTGTGCAGATGTTGGAAGAGGCATAGAGCCACCTGGTGTGCATGGTGACACTTAAAGAGGCAGGAAGTGGAGGCGAGAGCGCTTTTGAGGAACTGGAGGCGAGAGCGCTTTTGAGGCGCCTCAAAAGGAACTGGAGGCGAGAGCACAATTGATGAGGGAGGAACGGAAACGAGGACAACACAAGGAATGGGGAAAGGACCGATTAGGAAAAGGGGACGTAGATCTGTAAAGTCCCTGTGCTTTAGGGATGTAGGACTCTAGTGAGTTAATACATGTGCACATGGGCACATGTACACATGCGCCTTAAGCATGCAGGACTTTACCTCCTCCGTCTGACAATCCAAGCAGAGCCATCGAGGCCAGTGAGAGCATTGGAGTGACCCACGATGGCCTCCTGAGTCGACTCAAAAGGCAGTACGGACGTAGGAGGACTGTACTGTAGTACCTGCGCCTGACGATCCATGCAGAACCATCGAGGCCAGTGACAGCAATGGAGTAACCCACAATGGCCTCGCCCCTCGACTCCGCTGAGAACGCCCCTACGATCTGCACATGTATGCACGGAAACACATGGCATGGAGACTTGGATGCATGGAGACATGGGGAAAGCGACACAAAAGCACGAGGAGAGACAAGCGCGCTCGCACGCGCGCACACGCACGCACGCACGCACGCACGCACGCACGCACGCACGCACGCACGCACGCACGCACGCACGCACGCACGCACGCACGCACGCCCACGCACGCACGCACGCACGCACGCACGCACGCACGCACGCACGCACGCACGCACGCACGCACGCACGCACGCACGCACGCACGCACGCACGCACGCACGCACGCACGCACGCACGCACGCACGCACGCACGCACGCACGCACGCACGCACGCACGCACGCACGCACGCACGCACGCACGCACGCACGCACGCACGCACGCACGCACGCACGCACGCACGCACGCACGCACGCACGCACGCACGCACGCACGCACGCCCACGCACGCACGCACGCACGCACGCACGCACGCACGCACGCACGCACGCACGCACGCACGCACGCACGCACGCACGCACGCACACACACACACACACACACACACACACACACACACACACGAGTGAGAGAGTGGTGTGGAATTGCCCGCACGCGCCAGGCGAGACAGACAGCCCCACAATTTGCAACGGCGCCCACCCCAACAAGCACTTTCTACCAAGTAATTCGATTTCACACCTGAGCGTGCATCTGCCGGCCCTCACAGCCCTCCCCAAACGCCCGCATCTCCTTGCTCTGGCCCTTGCCCCCCTCGCCCATGGCCCCAGCTCCCCTCACGGCCCCCATGCCCAGGTACTGCTGCATCTCCAGCTGCGCCTGCTCCTCCTCCCGCCGCTGCTGCTGCTGCTGCAGCCACTCACTCTCCAGCAACCAAGGAGGCCGCAACCCTGGCCCTTGTCCGTTCTCCCCTCCTCCCACCCCTCCTCCCACCCCTCCTCCCAGTCCTCCTCCCACCCCTCCTCCCACTCCTCCCACCTCATCGACAGGGTCCCTGCCCTCGCCAATGGGAGCAGCAGGGCCGTCCCATGCACGCCTCTTACCACGCCCCTTCACACGTGCACTCAACAGCACGCCCCCACCTTCCCCCTCCTCGTCCTCCTCGTCCTCCTCTTCCCCTTCTTCCATCGCCAAACCGTCCAAGTCTAGGAACGCTCCTGCTCTCCATCTCACCTCCCCAAACGCATCTCCATACACCGTCGCCTTGCTTCCAATCACCCTCTCCCCACCCCCATGCCATCCCTGCAGCACCTGCTGCTGCCCCTCTTCCTGTTTCTCCCCCTTCCGCCCTTCCCTCTCCCCACCTAGCTCCCCTTGCTCCCCTCTTTGCTGCACCACACTCAGCGGGTCCCTCTCTGCTGCTTCCACCATCAGCACCCGATCATCCCCACCCCCACCCACTCCCCTCACCTCCCCCACTCTCGCCCCTCCCGTCCCCCCTCTCTCACCCCCACCCCCCACTCCACCTACTCCCATCCTAAACGCCCCAGTAAGCCCAAACGCTGCTAGATTCCTCTCCACCCATCCAGCAGTGGCAGCAGCCGCAGAGAGAACCGACCTGGCATCATCCCCACCTCCATCCCCCTGCGAGGCAGAGCCCGCGTGCCACGCTGCCCCTGTAGCCGAACTCCCCCGCCCAGGCCCCACCCCTGACCGTATTACCCCAGCCCCAGTTCGCCCAGCCCCCGTGCTTGCAGCCCCTGCCCTGTCACTACCTACACCTGCTGCTGCTCTGGCACCTGGGTCCGACCTGGGCCCAGCGCCTATGAGGCTCAGCCATGTTGCTGCTGCTGCTGGCCCCGCATTGGGCCTCATCTCGGCTTGGGTTCTGTCTGCCTCACCAACCACCACGGCTGCACCTTTCGCTGCTGCAGTAGTTGCTGCGGCTGCAGTCGCTGTGGCTGCAGCCGGAGCTGCTGCTGTAGACGACCAGAACGCACCTGTGGCCCACACACCCGCCCAGCCCCCTTGAGACTGGGACTGTGACAGTGATGATCCTGTCCCTGAGACCGCCTTTGCGCCTGTGCTTGGATTCACTCCCTGCCTCAGCCTTCCAGCTTCGTCAATAGGAGAGAGGGCCAACCTTCTTCCTCCAGCCAATGCTGCATCCGCTCCTGATTCTCCTCCCCCCCCTCCCCCCGCGCCCCCACCGCCCTTGCGCTGCATCATCTGCATCGTCCCTGGCGTCTTCTCCACCAGAAACCCGAGGCCGCGCACCGCCATCCCTGTCTCCAGCTCCTCGCTCCATCGCTCACCCCGCGTGCCTCCGCTGCGGTTACCACATCCAGCAGTGTTACCGCCACCAGAGAATCTCTTCAGATTACCAGGCTCCTCATTTGAGCAAAGAGACTCCCACAACATCTCCCTTACATTCTCATTCTTCCCCTTTCTTCCACCACCACCAAACCTGTCACCACCACCACTGCCAGCACCACTACCAGCACCACTGCCAGCAGCGCTGCCTGCTCTACCTGCAGCAGCTTCCCTGGACTCATCGCATCCCAGCCCCTGCCACCTCCTATCCGCATCCGGCCCTCTCAATGCAGCTCCCTGCCCCTTCATACCCCCCTTGCCGCCCCTCTCCGCCACTTGCCCCACCCCACCCCTCTCACGGCCTCTCTTGCTGCTTCTGCTTGACTCATGTGACTGCGGCGGGGCAACCTGCTGGGAGGCGACCCCTGTGCCTGCGTCCCATTGTGTGGTCCCAGGGTGAGGAGGAGGCAGTGGTCGGGGTGGTAATGCCTGCTGCTGCTGGCTCTCTGCAAGGACTGCTTGCTCCTCCTTAGGAACAACCCATCTGTTGCTGTCGCTGTTGCCGTAGTAAACCACCTGCTGTTGCTTGCTGTTGCTCCCATCTATCACTTGCGTGCTGTCGTTGGTAACCACTCGCTTGTTCCTGTGCAGGTGCACCCCATCGGTGTACCAGAGGTCGTCAATCTGCTCGCTGTCCAGCACCTGCAGCTGTCGCTGCTCGTAACGCCGTAACGCCTGCGCAAAGTCCTCGTCGTCACCCTGTAACCGCACGCCATCGACCTTGCTCATCCCACTTCCATCCCTCCCTTGGCTGTCCCCCCCTTGACGACTGCCCCCACTCCCACCCCCCTCGTGTGGCTCACTCTTAACCCTGCCAAACACCGCATCCTTCCTCCCCCACCCTAGCTTTTCCCCACCATGCCCCCTTTCCCCTCCCCCCGGCCGGCTTGGCCTATCAGCAGCAGCCGCCACAGAAGCGCCTCCAACCTTTTCACCAAAAGGACCAGAGGCAGCATGAGGAGGGGGAGGGAGAGCGGGAGCCGCACCAGGTGCAGGCTCAGCAGAGAAAGAAGAATCAAGCGGGCACGAAGCAGGGGGGCAGACAGCAGGACCCCCGTGCCTCTCCCCACTGCTGCTCAACGTGCCTTGACTGCCAGAGAAACCAGCAGCAGACCCCTCTAAGCCCCCAAATACCCCTGACCCACCAGAGGGGCCAGAGGGGCGGAGAGGGAGAGGCGTGGCAGCGATTAACTGAGGGGCGAGGGAGGCCAGGGACGAGGACGCGCTCATAGGTTGCAGCAGCCCAGCAGCCAGCCTGCCCTGGGCAGGCTTATCCTGGGGAGGCGGTTTCTGGGGAGCTGCGACCTGAGAGGAGCCTGCTGCTCCCACTTCAGGAGCCGCGGCCTGATGGCGGCCTCTGTGCCCTGCGCCCTCCCCATGCCTGCCCCCTTCTGGCTTATCCCCCTGCAGCTTACCATGAGGCGCTCTGCTTTCCGCAATCTGTGCATCCTCCTCGTCTGTACTGAACCCCATCCCCGCCACGCCATCGCTGTTCCCCTCCGCAAAGCTGTCATCATCCCCCGCACTGTCTCCCCCCAACCCCAGCACAGCACGCCGCCGCATGCTGCTGCTGCTGCTCCTTCTGCCACCCATGCCATGTGCGCCGCCTGCCGCATATCCACCTCCCCTGAATGCACCTCCCCCGAGCGTGCCACCTGCGCTAGGTGAACCTCCCCCAAATGTACCTGCACTGGGCGATCCCATGGCCCTCATTCGCCTGCTGCGGCTGCGAGGGATTCGTCTTCTCAGGGAGGCGCCCATCCGGGAGCCCATCCCCTGCATCTGCCCTTGCTGGGACGTGAATTGTTGCTGCGATTGCTCATGCGGCTGACTCTGCTGCCGCTGCTGTTGGTGTTGCTGCCTCTGCTGCTGAAGAGAAGCAGCAGCAGAGCCCAGAGGAGACACAGAAGCAGCGAAAATCGGAGGTGATGCTGCCGGCCCTACACCTCTGCCGCCCCTGCTTCTTCCTCCCCCACCTGACACTCCTGTTCCTCCCCCACCTGACACTCCTGTTCCTCCCCCACCTGACACTCCTGTTCCTCCCCCACCTGACACTCCTGTTCCTCCCGCACCTGACGTCCCTGCAGCTGCTGCTATCGCTGCCGCTGCCGCTGCTGCAGTGGCTGCTGTTGCTGCAGCCGAGGCTTGTGGTGGGGCAGAGGCGGCAGCAGCGGCTGAAGCTGCAGAGGGTGGTTGTGACGTGGCAGAGGCGGGCTGCGGATCGAGGAAGGAGAGAATGGCGTCATTGATCACCCTGCGGGGGAGAGGGGCACGAGAAGGGGAGAATGAGAGAGAGAGGTAGTGTGTGCCAGGGTGGGTGGCAAACGGGTAGGTGGAACGGCACGAAGCATTATGAAGAGAGTGTGAGGGTGAACGGAGTAGAGTGAACTGGGGAGGGGAGAGCACAGAGTGAGGAGATGGACAGCGTCCGGTGAGACAGCGTTGGGTGAAGGGCATGTTGGACGAGAGGGTCAGGAAGTGGGTCAACGTTGTTGAGCATTCCGGGATACCCATTGAGTAGAAAACAAAGCAGCATTTACCCAGGAATCACAAGCTGCCAAGGATCTAGAGCAAACACTATTGTATCTGGAGCAGCATCTTACCGGGGGTTGGCCTGCTTGAGCGCAGGCAGCAGCACGCAGCAGGAGAGCAGCTCCCGGGCCAAGCTGCGCACCACCTTGCTCTGCGCGTCACTGGGCGGCAGCACCAACGCCAGCATCCCTGCCACTAGCTTGCGCACCACCTGTTGCACACATCCACACATACACACACCCACAGGCGCCCCCACCCCTCCCTCCCACCACCCCCCCGCACACCGGTCACAGCCAAACACCAACCATTCCCCGGAATCCCGACCCCCCCTCCATTCACCCATCCCGCAAAATTCCTCATCCCTTCCTCCCCCTCTTCCATCTTCTCAACCCATCCCACCAGCACACACGCATGCATACATACGAACGCACATGCTTAAGTGCATATAGATATGCGAGCGCAGGGAATGCATGCAGAACAGAGGCCGATGATGTGAAGGCAGAGACCAATCCCATCCCCCCCTCACCCCATTCAGTTACCTGTCTGCAATTTCGTGCCTCCCAGTCACGCCCCAAGGCCCCCCTGCATCAGGCCACTGCCCCAGTTTGCAGTCATTTTTTAGAATTCTAAAAAGCGATTCTTAGACAGGCATACCGAGTCCTTCAAAGTCAACTGAAAAGCGCCCCCACGGACAACGGCCAGAAAGTACGTCCGCCCACTTTGCAGCAAGAACGGCCACCCACCTTGCGGCAAGAACGGCCACCCACCTTGTATTCACACTCGAGGGAGAGGCATGCGGGGTGCAGGTCGCCCGACGCCCCCATGGTGTGCTTGAGGCGCTCCTCCCTCTCCACAGGTGCCAGGCGCCCCCACTGCCCCTCGCCGATGTCCGCACACGTGCGCTGGTACTGCTCCACCGCCCCCACAACCGCACCCACCACGTCCCTGGGAGGAAGGGAGCGGGGGTTGGGGGAGGGGGGGGGAGGGGAGGGTGAGGGGAGGGGAGGGGAGGACAGGGAGGGGTGCAACGCAACGTGAGCAGGAGGAGGTGCGCGATTGATGACAAAAATCTGCAGGGAGAGCTGGGCGTTCATCAGGCAACAGGCAGAGGCCTCAGCATCTGGTAGCTGCAGCCAGCCAGACAGCAAGCAGACGTGCCACGTACACATATGCAGCGGCAGCCCTCAAACGCATCTCCCACGAGCAGCCATTGGACCTGAAACGAGTAGCCAGGAACCAGACAACTACCTGGTAAGCCGAATGCGTACCTAGTAAGCAGGCAGACCTGCGCCTGGCAAGCAGGCAGACCTGCGCCTGGCAAGCAGGCAGACCTGCACCTGGCAAGCAGGCAGACCTGCACCTGGCAAGCAGGCAGACCTGCGCCTGGCAAGCAGGCAGACCTGCGCCTGGCAAGCAGGCAGACCTGCGCCTGGCAAGCAGGCAGACCTGCGCCTGGCAAGCAGGCAGACCTGCGCCTGGCAAGCAGAGCAGGCAGACCTGCAGACTGCACCTGGCAAGCAGAGCAGGCAGACCTGCAGGCTGCGCCTGGCAAGCAGAGCAGGCAGACCTGCAGGCTGCACCTGGCAAGCAGAGCAGGCAGACCTGCAGGCTGCACCTGGCAAGCAGAGCAGACAGACATGCAGGCTGCGCCTGGCAAGCAGAGCAGGCAGACCTGCAGGCTGCGCCTGGCAAGCAGAGCAGGCAGACCTGCAGGCTGCACCTGGCAAGCAGAGCAGGCAGACCTGCAGGCTGCACCTGGCAAGCAGAGCAGGCAGACATGCAGGCTGCGCCTGGCAAGCAGAGCAGGCAGACCTGCAAGCATGAACGAAATGCAGACCTTCGCCTGGCAAGCAGAGCAGGCAGACCTGCAGGCTGCGCCTGGCAAGCAGAGCAGGCAGACCTGCAGGCTGAGCCTGGCAAGCATGAACGAAATGCAGACCTGCGCCTGGCAAGCATGAACGAAATGCCGGCCAAACCTTGTGAGCAGTGCGACGAGGTTGACCTTCTTGCCCCGGCGCGCCACCTCCCCCAGCACGGCGAGCAGCAGGCAGCGCAGCTCCTCCGGCATCTCCCGGTCTGGCGTCAGGTACGCGTAGAACTGCCCCGTCACGAAGTCCCTGGGGGGGGGAGGAGAGTGGGGGAGTACAGGGAGCATGGGAGAGGAGGGGGGGGGAGGTGAGTACAGGTTGGATTGGGAGGAGGGAGTAGGGATTCTGATAAGACGATACCCGCTGCTGGCTCCTGGACTGAAGAGGAAAATAAGCTGATGACTGTGATGGCCAGCGGAGGACACAAGAGGAGAAGAATGCAGAGGAGTGGGGCAAGTCTTGCTTGTAACGAGTATGCCTGCCTGCCTGGGCCCAGTGTAATGGATACACATACAGCCTAAAGCCTGTTGATAAGTCACTTGGCCGGCTCGCTTGATCATGGAGAGCACGAACTCGTCAAGAGAAGCCTCTACCAGCGGCGGCCACCCCACCCCACTATCGCCAGCTCAGTTGGCTCGCAAGGCTGTAAAAGGGCATCGCCGTGCGAAACTGGCTCGAAGGGCGCACACTTACTTCGTCCCCCCCTCCCCTTCCAGCTCACTTGATAATGGAGCGCACGAAGTCGTCAAGAGAAGCTTCCACCAGCGGCGACCCCACCAGCGCTAGCCCTAGCGGTTCAGACGGCCAGGGGAGGGCATCGCCGTGCGAGACTGGCTTGAAGGGGACCTGCACCTGCTCGTAGTGCACACGTGGCAGGCTGGCATTGGCTCGCGCCTGCAGCTCGAGCATGAGCCAGCGAGCAGCAGCGAGGATCCCGAGGGCCACCGGCACGTTGAGGAGGAAGGACGAGCTGGTCACTGGCGAAGGGGTGGTCGTCAGGCGGGAGAGGGGGAGGGGGAGAGGAGAGAGGCGGGAGCGGGGAGGGGGAGGGAGGAAAGGGGGGGGGAGGGGAGGGGGGAGGGGAGGGGGGAGGAGATTTGACTTCTGGGAGTCCAATGGCGGGTTGAGGAGTCGGGGAAGTGGGGAGGGAAGAGAGAACAAGGCGAGGTGAATTAGAGAGGTGGTGAAAGTAGCACGTACGTCCGTATGGGCCTAGTAGAGAGCATTGATCCAAGACAGTGCAAAGGAAGACGGGCGAATGAGGAGCGGCGGAGGGGGGAGCACGGAAATGAGCACCGTACGGGAACGTGAAATGGAGCACTGACGGACTACTGACGGACTACTGACGGACTCTGCATTCGCAAGTAGCTACGGTAAATCCTGACAGTCGCATGCCGGCATGCGAGTACTGAGACCCAGAACCACCGTAACGGAGGTCTACGGAAAGGCCTGGCGGTCCCGGAAGTGGTCTTAAGACATGGCATCACATGGCCTCACGGGTCGATCTGGGGTGGAGTCACAGCCTACGTGACATGGCATAGGCGAGAGCGGCCACGGCGATGATGAGCAGCAACCCGTGGCTTTGAACCTCTCTTACTAGCCCCTGAAGGTGCCTTATCTGGGCTCGATAGTCATCTTACGCGACATGGCGCACGCCAGAATGACCAGCACGATGACCAGCAGCAACCCGCGGCTCTGAATCTCCTCTAACACAAACTCCTGACGGTGCCTTATCCGGGCTCGATAATCATCTTACGTGACATGGCATACGCCAGAACGACCACCGCGATGATCAGCAGCAGCCCGCGGCTCTGAATCTCCTCCGCGAGCTCCTGGAGGTGCCTTATCCGGCCGAACTGCACCCGCCAGTTGTTCACCCGCCACTGCGCCAGCCGCCACACGCCCGGCCGCACGTGCACGGTCCCCCCCGACCCCACCACCTTGCACGGCTGGCACAGCAGCGCGGCGGACGGCTTGCGGAGGACCGCGCTGCAGCATCGGCATCTTAAAGCCGGCATGGCGGATTGCGATGGGGATGGTTGCTACAGAGGGATGTAACACTTGGCCTGCTTTTCTTTCGGCTCAGAAGGGCCTACATAGGACCACGCTGCAGGACCGGCATCTTAAGGCCCGCATTCTGTAAGGGCCATATAACATGATAGCTTTTATGCGCTCTATTAAATTTGGTTAAATACAGGTGGGGAACGGCCTAGGGTTTGCCTTGGACTATGCTGCCGCGTCGGAATCTTTGGGAACCATCATGACGCGCATCATCACACGGCAATGAGAATTTCTCGAAACCCTTCATCACTATCTGCCAGTGCTTTGCAGCCTCGGCTTCTCCCTAGGCGCGATGGGCGGTGAATACGGCAGTTTCTCCCTGAGCGTTCCACTATTCTTGGCTGACCTCGTGCACGTAGTTACATGCTCCGTCAACGGTAAACTTGACTCGTCAAGAGCAGCCCGAGGAGTAAAACATGGTGTGTATAAGCCGCACACGGAAAATATATTAATTGCTTATTTCATGGTGTACTTTACTCAGTATGTTGTTCGCATTAATACCATATACCGTACCGTATCCGTTTCAACTTTGTAAGTTTCAAGTTTTTCCCTGGTTTTAAAAAAAATTCCTCTGGAATACGCATATGATACTCTATAGCCCGCAAAAACAAGCCAGACAGCCCCTTGCGATATTACACAGAGCTTAAACACTATGCCATCAAGTGGATGTCAAACAAACATATAGTTCAGTCTACACATATCTAGGTATTTTAGATATGCTTGTTATAACCTAGTAGGTCAGTTCTTAGAGGGGACAGTATCCTTGTACTTGTATCTCCCCTCCCCTCTTCCTAGTCACATTTTTTCCCGCTACTCTAACATGGTATCAGAGCTAGGTTAGAGTTTTTCTGGCGTTACTCACGCTTCCGCAATTACTGTAGATTTTTTTTTTTGTGCATGTCTCGCTCTCTCAATTTTGCGCACCTCCCCCCTTTCTAATTCCGCGCACCTTTCCTGGGTTTAAAAAACATTCCTCTGGAATACGCATTTGATACTCTAGAGCCTGCAAAAACAAGCCAGACAGCCCCTTGCGACATTACGCAGAGCTTTAACACTTTGACTCTATGCCGTCAAGTGGATGCATAGAATATAACAGACCTCTAGCATCTAATGGAACTCTGGCTCATTTTACCATGCACCCTCCACCAGGAGCTAGTCAACCACCAGCAGTGTCTGAAGCAGTACATTGACAAGGCATGAGAGAATGCATCACCCACTTTGTGCACGAGAAAGTATCGTGTCAAAGTATCCACCGTAGTATAATACCTACCAACCCCTTGTGGTAAGCTTGTCCTTGTGCACAAGCAGTAGGGTTTTGATGGGAGAAAAATGCCAAATGAATGGTCACAAATGATGCCCGGCAAATGCAAAACAACCCCTTTTGAGTGCGGTACAATTTAGCACTTTTGAGGGTCGCGGGCTTAGGGTCGACCCCAAGACCGTATTAAACCGCACAAAACCTAAGCCCGCGACCCCCAAGGCTTAGGGCCTTCTATCTCACTAAACCGCACAAAACCGTATTAATCTAAAATGTAATCCAACCGACAATAACCGCTGAACAAGGTTGGTGGGGTTGGTGTTAGGGTTGGGTGGGCCAACCACGGCCCTAGGGGAATTGTACCTATTCATACCGTATTTGTAGTCGTTGTTAACAAACAAACATCAGCTAGTTAGTACATATATTTGTTATCTCCTAGCTATGTGAGCTCTTAGGGGGTACAACCCCATGTATCATTTTTTACATTCTCTAGTGCCACTTTTGTCTCGCTAGTTTGACATGGCATCTGAGCTAGGTTTAGGATCATGGGCACTGCACCAGCAGCAGAGGGGGACCGTGGGCACTGGGGGTGCTGACTCTTGGGTTGCTGGTTCTGGGGGTAGAGGCTTTGGAGGTGCTGGTTCTGGGGGTACTGGCTCTGGAGGTGCTGGTTTTGGGGGTGCTGGTTCTGGAGGTGCTGACTCTGGGGTGCTAGTTCTGAGGGTGGTGAGTTTGGGGTTGCTACTGTAGTCCTGGGGGTACTGTTTCGGGGGGTACATATGATGGCGGCAGTGGGGCTGGAGGTCCAGGAGCGGCCAGGAGGCAGCAGGAGCCGCAGCCGCAGCAGAAGCCGTAGTCTGCCCTTCGTCTCCTTGCCTTTCCTCCAGTTCCTCTGACCGACCGTCCGTCCCTCCTACTGTGCCTCCCCTCCCGCCTGACCTTGTCTCCGCCCCCCTCCCCCCCAGACTCCTCTCCGGCTCGTTTCCCCCCTTTCTCTCCTCCATCCTCTGTCCTGCCCCCGGTTCCCCCTCGTCCACAGTCCCCCATCCTTTCCGACTGGGTCCGCCGTCCCCTTGGTGGTCGTCCTGTCCCTCCTCAGGCTAGAATCCACCCTATGGTCCTTCGTTCTCGTGCTCCTCTAGTCCTCGTTCTTCAGTTACCTCCTAGTCGTTTCTCCTACTTTCCCCTGCTCCTCCCTCTGACTCTCCTCGCACTGCTCACCCAGTCGTCTCTCGTTTGCTTGCGTCACTTGTCACTGACCCTACTACTCCTCTTGAGACTGTCTCTGCACTTGTCGCTGCTGTCGCCGACTTCGCTGCTAGCCAATGCCTTGACTACGTTTCCACTCTGGACTCTGACCCTACCCACCCTCTGCCTGTCGGGGGTGCACTTGGTTTTGGGAGTGACGTTCTAGAGGACATGCGGGACATCGCTGCCACTGTACCCCATCTCTGCGCTATGCGAGTATCCCATAAGGGTGACCCCAACGCACTGAACATCCTGATCCCGCGCTCTTATACTAAGGCGGTATTGGGGCCCTGGGCAGCCCCGTGGATACAGGCCTTGGAGGCTGAGATGGCATCCTACAAATCATAGGCACGTACGTCGACGCAGTTCCCCCTTCAGGAGTGAACGTAGTCGATGGTATGTGGATCTATAGGGTGAAGCGCGCACCTAGAGAGCCGCCGAAGTTCAAGGCGCGTTATGTGGCTCGAGGCTTCAGTCAGCGTAAGGGTGTGGACTTCTTCCAGACCTTCTCCCCAACTCCGAAGTTGACTACTCTTCGGGTGCTCCTCCATATAGCCGCGCATCGTGACTACGAGCTTCACTTACTGGACTTCTCCACAGCATTTCTCCAAGGCACTCTATAGGAGCAGATCTACCTGCGACGCTTACAAGGCTTTCCTGGGTCCTTCCCACCTGGGACCCATTGGAGCTTGAGGCGCCTAGTCTACGTTCTGCGCCAGGCTCCCCGTGAGTAGCTTGGCACGCTCCGCACTACACTAGCATGTTTCCTGTTCTTCCCTTCATCAGCTGAACATTCGCTCATTGTTCGTGCTGGTCAGACTCCATTCTATATCCCTGTGTACGTAGATGATCTGATTTTTGCCACACCTGACTGAGAAACACTGGCCTCATTGAAGGCCGAGCTACTCAGGAGACATACATGGACTGACCTGGGGAAGCTGCGTCGCTATTTGGGCTTGGAGATCTCTAGTAATTGTATTGCGCGCACAATCACACTTTACCAGTCCTACGTGGTGCAGCAGATTTTTCAGAGGTCCAGATTCCAGTTCTCGTCGGCACAGCTCACCCCTCTTACACAGAACCACAAGCTCTCAGCTCCTCCCTCTAGTAAGCAGGTCGAGCCCAGTGGTCCCCACGCCAAGTTAGTGGGTTGCCTTATAGAACTGATGACTTGCACACCCCCAGATCTCGCATACCCTCTCAGCATTCTCGCGTTCTTCATCGCGCTTAGTAGACACACCCCAGAACACTGGTCAGCTGCTAAGAGGATCTTGCGGTATCTGGCGAGCACATCAAGCATGGGGCTTGTGTTGGAAGGACGAGACCCCGTTGCCATCTTTGGACCCACAGACGCGTCATGGGCTGACGACCTCGAGACTCTCAGGTCGTCCCAAGGCTACTACTTCAGCCTTGGGACTAGTGCTATCTCTTGGAGGTCCACCCGGTCGTAGGACAGTCCAGCTATGATGCTGAGATCTACGCTGGAGGTATGGCTGCTCAAGAGCTCCGCTGGCTAACGTTCCTGCTCACCGATTTAGGTGGGCGACCAAGGTCCGCCCGGTCCTGTTTGCTAACAACATGCCCATGATCCTCCTGTGTCCGGAGGCTCGATTTGAGGGCAGGGCCAATCACATCCAGCTGCAGTACTTCCTGTTTCGTGAGTTGCAGTAGCGCGATCAGACTCACGTAGTATACGTGGCCACTGAGGCCAACACTGCTGATATCTTTACCAAGGCGCTTGCGCCGCGTAAGCTTTAGCGGTTCTGTACTCAGCTAGGACTGGTCCATGTTGTCTCGCACTTGCTTGTATATACTAGGCTATACTGGTTTTGTCTTGTTACTCTTTCTGACTGACCTCCAGGCCCTTGTCTCAGTGGTCAGACTAGTAGTGCTACCGTAAGCTGCTGTGTTACGTACACCAGAGTCTCAAGGTATAGTATTTTTTTAGAATAGGGCATACATGGAAGTTTCGTTCGACGTGTTGTACTCTTTATGGTATGCTCCTAGCTAGCCTATAAACATATGCAATATATATGTTGACACACCCCCTAGGCTAGACAAGGGGCAGTGCCTGGCAAGAGACACGAAGCTCAGGGTGGCACTACTAGTCCAGCCTCTGAGGCAAGGGCCCGAAGACCAGTCACCAAGGGTACAAACAAGACAAGAGCAAACCAGGGTGGCACTACTAGTCCGGCCACTGGAACAGTAGCCACAAGGCCAGTCAGGAGAATATATATAGAAGTGTAGTACACAGTTAAGGCCCTAGCAAGTGAGGAGCTACAGGAACTAGACCAAGCTGTACACATTGCCACTGATGATCATTAGGCGCAAGCGTCGTAGTAAAGATATCAGCTGTGTTGGCACCGGAGGCCAAGTGTACTACGCGGGCCTGGCGGCACTGCTGTAGCTCCCGCACGAGTAAATAACACATCTGGATGTGCTTCGCTCTGCCCTCCAGACGAGGCCCCTGACATAGGAGGATCATGGTCTTGTTGTCAGCGTACAAGACCGGGGCAGAGCTACGTAGGCCACTCACCAAAGTTTGTGAGCAAGAAGGTCAGCCTGCGGAGCTCCTGTGCCACCATGGCGCCAGCGTAGATCTCAACATCACAGCTAAACTGTGCAAGAGACGACGAGCGGGTGGACCTCCACGAGATGGCGCCTGCACCAAGGCTTAAGTAGTAGCCCTGGGAGGACCTGAGCGTCTCAGTGTCATCAGCCCATGAGTGTCTGTGTGTCCTGTAAGGACCACTAGCTTGCGTCCTCCTAGAACTAGCCCCATGCCCGATGTACTTGCTAGATAACGCAAAACCCTCTTAGCG